TGACAATGCACACGCGCTTGTAGGGCGGGCCAACATCACGCTTCCCCGAGATGATCGCGTCGTACATCGCGCACGGCGGCATCTTGCGCTCCATTGCCCCCATAAAAGGATGAGTGACAGTGCGTCGCCACCACGCAAGTGGATCACCAGCGTTGCCTCCGAATGTGTTGATGTGAATGTGTCGATGCGCGCGGTGGGTGTGATTGCGGGGTAGATGTAAGAGAAGGCTCGTCGCCACACGTTCACGTCATGGCCAGCGGAACAGGCGATGCACGTTGTCGGGTCTGTGAAGCTCACGACCTTGCACACCTGTTCACGCCGAAAGCAGTCTGTCGAGTTGAGCGGCAGGGCCTGGACTGGGAGCTGCAGGTGATAGCACAGCTTCTTGCAGTTGATTTTACGCTTGCTGTCCTTGAGGCCCGGGCAAGGGAACCCGAGGCATGGCGCCCTCTTCAGCACCAAGAAGCCTTTGAGCTTCCGGCTGTACGTGAAATCGGTCAGGTGGATGGTGCGAGCGGTAACCGTACTCGAGAGCGTACCGTACTGACCAAGCAAGCTGCCGCAAGCTGTCTCCCAGTCGACCTTTCAGCATCGGGATCACCAAGCCGTCACTTGGAGGGAATGCGCGATCTTGTTGCACGTCGTTGCTGTCCATGACACCATCCGCGGCCGAGCCTACAACTGATACTTTGCATGCTTTTGAAAGAAAGGCTCGACGCACGGGTTCTCGAGGTTAAATCAGTCGTCACAGTGAGTTGGTCTCGGCAGCTTGTCAGCCCTCACTCAGCCGAAGCTGGGGCAAAAATCGCAAACCCTGTCAGCAGTCCTCCTCCGGGAATGTACGTAAGAGCCACATACATTGAGAGAGAGACGCAGTGCCGCTCGACTGTCACGCGGGCACTCGAGCTTGGGGACACAGTCGGTGGTGCAAAGGACTACCATGGCGACTGGTTCCTCAACAACGCCGCCCGGCGGCGCCCACACGACGGCGTACTTCGCGCCTGGTACGATTGTGTCGCCGCCGTCTCCATCTCCCGGCCCGTTATGGGAGATGCCGAAAAACCTGAGCTCACCAAACAGTTCAACGAGGGCTACAAAACCGACCTGGCTGAGCCGGGCGCGGCTCCCGGGGGCAAAGACGAGATCAGTGAGGTCAAACTTTGGACCCCCCTCCGGGGTGGCTTGCCTGTTGGGGTCGGCCGCGCCGACACCGGAGGCAACCCCGGCTCCGTTGGAGACAAGTTCGCCTTCGGCAACACCGAAGAGCGCGCCCGCCTTGCAAACATGGGCTGCAAGCAACGCGGGTTCCGTGGTCAACGCGCGTTCGACCACACCACCGGCCAAGGCTACGTCAAGTCACAGCGTGGCCACTACCATGATGGGATCTTCGGCAAACGAAACAAGTTCAACCTGCTTCTCCACGAGACATTCGGCGGCGGCTTCTCGCCGCCTGCAGTTGCAAAGATCAACTGTCTTGCGCGCAAGGCTCACCGCTCGGGCGTTGACCGC